CCATAAAAACAAGTACAAAATCATTACAGAGTAAAGTATCTTTGAACCTCCAGCCAATAGCAAGAGTTCTTCAGTCGCAGACATGCAGTTTGCAGCATGTGTTCTGATCATGGTTCAGGGGCATGCGCATAGTCTTGACCAGTCCAAACAAATGTTTAATATGAACAAACTGTAGTATCAATTCTAAGAAAAATAGAATACTTGATAGAGTGGTTCCATTTTAGACTTGGTAAATTTAACCCAGCTTCACATTATTTAATCAAGTTCCTGTAGCTTCAGAATTAAAAGTGGTCAATCAAGACAGACACACAGTTTGTTCCCACAAGGTAATTTGGATCTCCAGGAAGACACTTGTTTTGCCAGGTTTTAGGATCACCCGACGAGGAGTCGGATGATTTTAGAGCAAAAGACCAACCATCAGGAGTCATGGATGCACAGTGTGGCAAGCGCAGCTCCACGGGCTTCAGGAACTTGAGGCCATGGGGCCCGCACATCACTAAGGGGCTTAGCAAGGTTTCACCTTTCTCTTTATCCAAAGGTGGGAGGAATTTAGTTGCGGGTTTGGTTTTTTTTTTTTTTTTTTTTTTTTTGCCACAATGTCTTGGCTTTCCATGCCTAAAATACTCTCATGGGCTCTTCAGCCAGATCTGAATGCCTTAAGGGCTGATTCTGAGGCCAGAGTGCTGTTTAGGACATCTGCCATTCTATGAGTCTGCTGTGTATCCCACTTCCCATGTTGGATCGTTCTCTCCTTCTTAATTCTATCAGTTAGTATTAGCAGGCACTAGTCTTGTTTATGTGATCTCTTTGACTCTTAGACCTATCATTATGATCAATTATGAAATGAAATTGATCACTTGGACTGGTGAGATGGCATTGGTACATGCCACCTTGATGGGATTGAATTAGAATCCCCTGGCACAGGCTGGCGCCGTGGCTCAGTAGGCTAATCCTCCGCCTTGCGGCGCCAGCACACTGGGTTCTAGTCCTGGTCGGGGCGCCGGATTCTGTCCCGGTTGCCCCTCTTCCAGGCCAGCTCTCTGCTGTGGCCAGGGAGTGCAGTGGAGGATGGCCCAAGTGTTTGGGCCCTGCACCCCATGGGAGACCAGGAGAAGTACCTGGCTCCTGCCATCGGATCAGCGCGGTGTGCTGGCCGCAGCACGCTGGCCGCGGCGGCCATTGGAGGGTGAACCAACGTCAAAGGAAGACCTTTCTCTCTGTCTCTCTCTCTCACTGTCCACTCTGCCTGTCAAAAAAAAAAAAAAAAAATCCCCTGGCACGTTTCTAACTCCTTCATTTGGGGCAAGTCCGATTGAGCATGTCCCAAATTGTACATCTTCTCCCTCTTTTCTCCCTCTTTTATTCCCACTCTTTATATTTAACAGGGATCACTTTTCAGTTAAATTTAAACACCTAAGAATAATTGTGTATTAATTACAGAGTTCAACCAGTAGTATTAAGTAGGACAAAAAAAAAATACTAAAAGGGATAAAGTATTAAGTTGTTCCTTGACAGTCAGGACAAGGGCTGATCAAGTCACTGTTTCTCATAGTGTCCATTTCACTTCAACAGGTTTCGTTTTTGGTGCTTGGTTAGTTGTCACTAATCAGGGAGAACATATGATATTTGTCCCTTTGGGACTGGCTTATTCACTCAGCATGATGTTTCCCAGATTCCTCCATCTTGTTGTAAATGACCGGATTTTGTTGTTTTTGACTGCTGTATAGTATTCTATGGAGTACATGTCCCATAATTTCTTTTATCCAGTCTACTGTTGATGGGCATTTAGGTTGTTTCTAGGTCTTAGCTATTGTGAATTGAGCTGCAATAAACATTAATGTGCAGACAGCTTTTGTGTTTGCCAATTTAATTTCCTTTGGGTAAATTCCAAGGAGTGGGATGGCTGGGTTATATGGTAGGCTTACATTCAGGTTTCTGAGGAATCTCCAGACTGACTTCCATACTGGCTTTATCAGTTTGCATTCCCATCAACAGTGGGTTAGTTTCCCTTTTTCCTCACATCCTTGCCAGCATCTGTTGTTGGTAGATTTCTGCATGTGAGCCATTCTAACCGGGGTGAGGTAAAACCTCATTGTGGTTTTGATCTGCATTTCCCTGATTGCTAGTGATCTTGAACATTTTTTCATATGTCTGCTGTCCATTTGGATTTCCTCTTTTGAAAAATGTCTATTGAGGTCCTTGGCCCATCTCTTGATTAATAAGTATTCTATAAAAATTAGTTCAGATACACATAGCTCTCTTAAAGCCAATTAAAATATTTTTAATTCTCAGGAATTATTAATACATTAGATTGTCAGGATCACAACAAATACATAATAATTACTACAACAGAAGTCTCATTTTAATGTAATATTAATATAAAGTGAACAGATTTAATGTAGTTTATGGATGCAATTCTTAGAATATGAAACTTCCCTTCCCCTCCCTCTCTCCCTGCCTCCCCTTCCCTTCCCTTCCCTCCCTTCCCTTTCTCTCCCCTCCCCTCTCCTCTCTCAGTATTTTTTTTTTTTTTTTTGGTTTAGTGTTTGAAAGAGTTGTTATGCATCTCCTGACAACAATGTTATTTTCTTGGGTTATAGTAAAATTATATTTTAACATGATATGATTGGATAATAACACATTATCATCAAATACAAGAGCAGAAGAAGGTTTCATTATCAGGTGATTGAATTACCAGAGGTGTATTGCTGTGAGGGGAAGTCCATTTTTTGTGGGCTGTGTACAAGGAGCTATTACCTGCTGGAGAGCTGAAATTAATTAGATTCGGGCCTGCAGAAGTCTTCTACGATTTCATAGAATCACAGGAGTATAGAGATGGAAGGACTTTAGAAATCATAATTAATACCCTTATTTAAAAAGTCGGGATAATGAAGTGAAAGTTCTTATGTCCAGGGTCACACTGTAGCCAGTGGTTGTGACCAGAAACCAAGACCTTGGCTGTGCACTAGTGACTTTGATCACAAACTAAATCGGTCCTTTGTCTATATAATGTACATTCTAGAAGCAGATTATTTTGTTTTATGTATAAGATTTCAAAGATTTTCTAATATTTTATAGATACAAACTGCAAGCCAATTATTTTTTTTTGAGATTTATTTTATTTATTCATTAAAAAGAGTTACAGAGAGAGGTAGAGACAGAGAGAGGTCTTCCATCCTCTGATTCATTCGCCAAATGGCCTCAATCGCTGGAAATGAGCTAATCTGGAGCCAGGAGCCAGGAGCTTCTTTTGGGTCTCACATAATGGTGCAGGAGCCCAAGGACTCTGCTGCTTTCCCAGGTGCATTAGCAAGGAGCTTGATTGGAAGTAGAGCAGCCAGGACTTGAACAGAACTCTCATATTTCTGAGGATACTGTATTGTAAGTGGCAGCTTAATCTGCTGTGCCACAAAATGCCAGCCACTTAACATTTTTTTTGAGAATTCATAAACACATGTGTGTCACATACATAGACATGCATACCTGAGAATATTATGAAACATTTGGTGTTTATTTAATTCATTGTTAATTTATTATAACAAATTGTTAAATTATTCTAAGGCATCTATGTAGTTTTTTTTTTTTTTTTTTTTTTTTTTTTTTTTTTTTTACATTGTCTCTTTTCTCAATATGGATGGATGAGAACTTCAGGATTTAAAACTATCCTCATGCCTGAAAACATGGTTGGATTTTGAAAGCCAGAATAATTGTGACTCCATTATGTTTTCTCCAACCTTTCTTGTATTTTATGTTTATAAAATTTAAACATATGTTTGTTTAGAAGTTATTGGCTGTTTCCTGCTAAAACTTTCTTCTTTCTTCTTAGTCTTTATTTTTTTTCTTTTCTGTTACCCAAAAGTTGGAAAATCAGCTTGTCATTATTGTTATATATTAGGAGTTATATAAACTTATCTTTATTTTTAAGCAAATTGTATGCTTGTGAAATGTGAAAAAAATATGTTTGCAGTACAGGTAAGAAGGCAGATCTAAGGGCTATCTTATGAAAAGATAGTGGAGCTGGGAATAAAATGAAGATCACATGAAATTCAATCTCAGAAAAGGAGAAAATAATGTTATTTCTTAGAAAACAAACTTTGTTTCTACTAGACACATTTAAGAATTCTTTATCTAAATCCACACATAATAATTGTACATATTTATGAGATACAATGTGATAATTTGGTACATGTATATATAATGTATAATGATTAGATCTGTGTAATTAGCATTTCCCCCTTTATACACATTTATCTTTTCTTTGTGTAGAGGAGCTATGAATTCCTGTATTAATAGTTCTTTGTGAAATATATAAATTAGAACTTATCCCTCTTGTCTCACTGTATATTGGTATTTGTCATCTAACCTCCCTCTCCCTGCTATTTTTCCAAATCTCTGCTGATCAGTACTCTACTTTTGACTTTTGAGAAATCACCTTTTTTTGCTTCCCTGTATGAGTGAGAACATGCAGTGTTTTCCTGTGTCTCACTTATTTCACTTAATATAATGTTAAGTTTCATCCACTGTCCCGCAGATGACAAGATTTTATTCTTTTTTAGGGCTGTGTAATTTGCTTTCTTCATTTATCTGTTGATAGGCACTTCAGTTGACTTCTGTACCTTGGCTTTTGTGAACAGTGCAATATGCAGGAGAGTATATAGGTAACTCTTTGATGTATTTACTTTGTTTGGGTAGAGGAGGGGGTCTTCAGAAAGTTCATGGGGAATAAATACAGCAGAAAAACTATGGATTTTAGGTTTTTTTGTTTTTTAACAAAATAAACTTATCTTTTAATTCTGTTTTTCCATGATCTTTTTCAAGTACCTTCCTATGTTACATAGCTGAATTATATGGTAGTTGTGTTTTTAGTGTTTTTTTTTTTTTTTTTGAGGAATGTCCATACTATTTCCCATAATGGTTGTACTTATTTACATTCTTGACAACAAGTTTGTAAGAGCTTTCCTTTCCCTGCATTCTCACCAACACTTATTTTTTTTTTTCAGTTTGATTATAGACATTCTACTCAGGTAAGATAATATCTTACTTATTTATTTTTTTTGACAGGCAGAGTGGACAGTGTGAGAGAGAGAGACAGAGAGAAAGGTCTTCCTTTACCATTGGTTCACCCTCCAATGGCCACTGCGGTCGGTTGGCATGCTGTGGCCAGCACACCACGCTGATCTGAAGCCAGGAGCCAGGTGCTTCTCCTGGTCTCCCATGCGGGTGCAAGGCCCAAGCACTTGGGCCATCCTCCACTGCACTCCTGGGCCACAGCAGAGAGCTGGCCTGGAAGAGGGGCAACCAGGACAGAATCCGGTGCCCCGACCGGGACTAGAACCCGGTGTGCCGGCACCACAGGCGGAGGATTAGCCTATTGAGCAGAGGCGCCGGCCAAGATAATATCTTATTTTGACTGATTTGCATTTCCCTGATGAGTAATAATGTTGAAGAATTTTTGATGTATTTACTGATCATTTATGTATATATATAATCTTTTGAGAAATGTCTATTCAGAACCTTTGCCCACTTTTAAAACAGACTTTTGTTTTTGTGGTAGAGTTTTTTTTTTTTTTTTTTTACTTCTTTGTATAATCTGGTAGTTAATCTGTTATTGGGTGGATAGTTTGCAAATATTTTCTCTCTTTCTGTAAGTTTTATCTTCACTCTGTTGATTGTTTCCTTTGCTGTGTGGGAGCTTCTTAGTTTGATATAATCCTGTTTTATTTTTATTTTAGTTGCCTGTAATTTTGGAAATTTATACAAAAATTATTGCCTATAGTGATATCTTAAAATGTTTTCCATGTTTTCTTCTAGTAGTTTTGTAGTTTCAGGTATTATGCATAGATCTTTTATCTATTTTCAGTTGTTTTTTTATATAATGAAAGATAGGGATCTAGTTCCATTTGTCCATATATGTATATCTAGTTTTCCCAGCACCATTTATTAAAGAAACTGATCTTTCTCTATTGTTTTTTTTCTCCATGCCTTTGTAGAAAAATCAGTGGGTATAAATATGTGGGTTTATTTCTGTATTCTGCATTTTATTCCATTGGTCTGTGTCTCTTTTTATGCCACTACCATGATGTTTTGGTTGTTATAGGTTTGTAACAAGTATCTTTTAAGGTCAGATGTTCTAAAGTTCCCAGCTTTGTTCTTTTGCGCAAGATTACTTTTTTCAAATCATTAAATTTTTTAAAGACTGTTTATTTGAAATACAGGGTGTTGGAGAAGGAAGGAGGGAGAATGAGAAGGAGAGAAAAACATAGTGAGAGGGGAGAGGGGAGAAGGAAGAGGAGAGAGGAGAGAGAGAGAGAATTTTCTATCTTCTGGTTCAGTCTCCAAATGCCTACAACAGCCAGGGCTGGCCTGGGCAGAAGCCAGGACCCAGAAACTCCATCTGGGTTTCCCACGTGGGTGATAGCAACCCATGTAATTGGGCCATTATCTGCTGTCTTTCAGGTGCATTAGCAGGAAGGTGGATTGGAAGCCTGGAGTAGCTGGGACTCAAACCAGCATTCTGGTGTGGGATGATATGGGGCATCCCAAGAAGTAGCTTAACCCACTTCACCATAATGCCTGCCCTGGGCATCATTTTCAAAAGTAAATTTTAAGAAGCTTAGAGAAAAAAATGGTTATTTTAGAAGCAACTGTGACTCGTGAAGATAGTAAATAATAAAATTCTGATTTTTTACTTATGAATGACCTAAACAGGAGAAAAATATGGGGGCAAAGTGGTTTAAGATATTTATAGAGAAAATTCTCTGAACATAAAGCGTGTGAAAAATATACAGAATGCTAAGCCAGGGACATGTAAAAAAGAAAAATCCAAGAGTAGCATTTATTTAAATTGGAGTGGGTGACTTTCTAGTAATAGAATTTGCTTTAATGTGTGCTTTTAGCAGAAAATATTATAGGTGTAAGAGTGGTTACTAGCTACTCTTTCATGTGGACAGAAATGAAATTAGATAGGATAGTGTCAGGGAGGCTAAAACTGATAATTAGCTGAAGTTAATGGGAAGGTTAAGGTAAGCAAGGAAAAACAGGTTAGGAGAAAGTATTTTATTTATAAAAGTTCCTCTGGAAGACCGAAAATAAGACCACTGATCAGGAAAGATGTAAAACCCTCTGTGCAACTATTCGTTACTGGAAATATATTAGCAGAGACTAATGACTGAATATTCATCAAAGTTAATTTTAGAAGGTAAAATACTGGGCTTTGAGTATATTTTTAGAAATTTCTAGCATTAATATTTCATATATGTAGTGTGACTGTGTGTGCTTTCAGTGTCTAGATGTGTTGTAGCCATCCTGGTCTGAGTGTATGCCTCATTTTATGTTGTTCTGGTTAGGACTTACCAGCCCTATTTTGCAGATTTATAGTGATATTAAGTACTGAGGACTAGAGTTTAAGGAAAAATTCCAAGTACAATTTTCATTTTCCAAACTATCCCTGAATATGTATAGTAGGATAAGTGTACCAAATGGTGACTTGGTACAGTTCTTCAGGTCTCAACCAGTATGGTTTCTTCCAATTGGAGGGCCGGAGGAAGAGAATTTGTTGGACATAGAGCATTAGTGGGCGTCCCTTTTTAAACCTCTCTTCTAAAGCTGATATGTAATGCCTTCAAATGAGATGTAAATTTCACTGTGCATGCTCATTTACATTTTGTGTTCATATTCATCACAGCTTACATCAAAAAGAAGAATTGAGTTTGATATAGCTCCATTTATTTAGTTTTGCTTTTGTTTCCTGTGCTCTGTTTTTTTTTTGGCAGTTGAATTTTTTTTAAACTTTTATTTAATAAAATAAATTTCCAAAGTACAACTTTTGGGTTATAGCAGCTATTTCCCCTCATAACCTCTCTCCCACCCGTAACCATCCCATCTCCCATTCCCTCTCCCACCCCATTCTTCATCAAGATTCATTTTCAATTATCTTTATATACATAAGATCAATTTAGTATATAGTAAATAAAGATTTCAACAGTTTGCACCCACAAAGAAACACAAAGTATAATGTACTGTTTGAGTACTAGTTATACTGTTAATTCACATAGCAGAACACATGAAGGACAGAGATCCTACATGGGGAGTAAGTGCACAGTGACTCCTGTTGTTGATTTAACAATTGACACTCTTATTTATGGTGTCAGTAATCACCCTAGGCTCTTATCATGAGCTGCCAAGGCTATGGAAGCCTCTTGAGTTCACCAACTCTGATTTTATTTAGACAAGGCTACAGTCAAAGTGGAAGTTCTTTTCTCTCTTCATAGAAAGGTACCTCCTTCTTTGATGGCCCGTTCTTTCCACTGGGATCTCTCACTCACAGAGATCTTTCATTTAGTTCATTTTTTTTCCCCCAGAGTGTCTTGGATTTCCATGCCTGAAATACTCTCATGAGCTTTTTGGCCAGATCCAAATGCCTTAAAGGCTGATTCTGAGGCCAGAGTGCTGTTTAGGACATCTGCCATTCTATGAGTCTGCTGTGTATCCCACATCATTCTCTCCTTCTTAATTCTGTCAGTTAGTATTAGCAGACACTAGTCTTTATGTGATCTCTTTGACTCTTAGACCTATCATTATGATTAATTATGAACTGAAACTTGGACTAGTGAGATGGCATTGGTACATGCCACCTTGATGGGATTGAATTGGAATCCCCTGGGAAAAAAAGTTGTCTCCTACACCAATGTCCTGGGGTGTTTCCCCTGTGTTTTCTTCTAGCAACTTTATTGTCTAGATCTTAAGTTTAGGTCTTTGATCCATCTTGAGTTGATTTTTGTATATGGTAAGAGATATGGATCTAATTTATCTCTTATAGATACATCCAGTTTTGCCAGCACAATTTGGTAAGAAATTATCCTTACTAGTAACTCTGTATGTTCTGAGCAGTTTAGCAGAAAATAAGTTTGCTGTATGTATGTGGAATAATTTCTGGGCTCTATATTCTGTTCCATTGATCTATGTTCATTTTTTACACCAGTACCATACTGTTTAATTGCTATAGCTTTGTAGTATGCTTTGAAGTCAGATATTGAGAAGCTTTTGCACAGTAAAGGAAATGATCAATATAGTGAAGAGACATCAGCAGAATGGGAAAAAATATTTGCAAGCTGCATATATGACAAAGGATTAATATCCCAAATATATCAGCAACTTAGAAAACTCAACAAAAACAAAAACAAAAACAACCAATCCAGGAGGCTGGTGCTGTTGCGTAGTAGGTTAAGCCTCTGCTTGCAGCACTGGCATTCTATATGGGCACCAGTTCGAGTCCTGGCTGCTCCTCTTCCAATCCATCTCTCTGCTAATAGTCTGGAAAAGCAGTGGAAGATGGCCCAAGTGCTTGGCCCCTTGCACCCACATGGGAGACCTGGAAGAAGTGCCTGGCTCCTGGCATCGGTTCAGCCCAGCTCCAGCTGTTGCAGCCATCTGGGGAGTGAAGCAGCGGATGCAGCCGATGGAAGACCTTTTTCTCTGTATCTTCCTCCCTCTGTAACTCTGCCTCTCAAATAAATACATAAATCTTTAAAACAACAACAACAACAACAAAAACCATGAATTCAGTTGAGAAATGGGCAAAGGACTTCAGTAAACTGTTCTGAAAAGAAGAATTACATCTGGCCAACAATTATGTGAAAGAATACTCAACATCACTAAGTATCAGGGAAATGCAAATCAAAACCTCAATGAGATATTACCTTACTCTTTCAGAATGGCTAAAATACAGAGTAACAAATGCTTGTGAGGATGTGGACAAAGAGAAACAAACCCTTATACACTGTTGTGGGAATGGAAATTGGTGCAGCCACTGTGGAAAACAGTGTAGAGATTTCTTAAAAAAACTAGGAATAATTTCCCTGGCCATCTTTTTGTGGCCCACTTGGTTGGAGGCTGTCCCACACCCAAGACAGAAAGATGGTGGCCACAAAGAAGACAAAAAAGTTGCTGGAGTTGATTGACTCTAGACTCCAACTTGTGAGGAAGACTGGAAAATACGTGCTAGGGCACAGGCTGTCTTTGAAGA